CAAACTTCAAACATTACCGCATTTCCTCAAAAAAGTATCCGCTCTGCTTAAAAACATATTCTTACATCTCCTTCGCCTTCATCCGGCATCATCCTGTTGAAAATGTTGCTATTAGTATTCACGACATGTTTACAAACTCCAAACGATAAAGCCAAACGATTCTTCGAAAGCAGCACAATGTTCCGATTTTTATTTGACTTAAAAACAATCCCCCCAGTTCAGTCATCATAGTACATGATGTTCTTTTTCCATTTCGTCTCTCTCCAAATTCGTCTTATTTCTTTCGATTTAAAATTCTAAAGACGAGGGATATTTGCCAATACTATTTGTGCTGTTGCTGATTCCTTCTATCTCGCTATGAAAAGGAAATGAAGGAAGAAAAATGCGAAACGCGACGCTATCACATTAAATCCAATTTTGATCTGATTTCATTTTATTTATTTATGATACTTTACAGTGTGACGAGAAAATGTTTTTTTTTGGTTTCTTTTGGGATTGTGGGGGTTTTTTGGTTGATTGGATTAGCAAGGTTTAGGGAATATTTGGGTCAAAAGTGGTAAGCTGGATACGGTTTTGTGAGTTGAGGGCCATTAGATAGCTTTGAATATTTTTGGTCAATAGTGGCACACAATACACGACTTTGGTCAACAGTGGCACACACTACAGTACTCTTGGTGAATTTATAGTCAATAGTAGCACACAGTACACGACTTTGAGGATTTATAACCTAAAATAATTCCCAAAAGAGTTCATCAAACCATCGCAGACTTCGATCCATCAAAACCCCTATCAAGCATCTCTACATAGTTATTTGTAAAGCAGATATCGATGTTCTGAATTTCAACAACAAGTCATTGCCTTTTCACTTCACATACATGCCAAAAAGCTGTAGAAACAGAACAGAAACAGAAGAGAAATGTTAATGGATCATGTTCAGTCAGCAAGACCTACAATTGTTTAATGATATCATCTCATACATGATATGAGAAAATAATCTATACGAGCATGTAATATGTGAATGAAGAAAATGAGAGAAAATCCCTTTTGGCGATGACGATCCGAATGAGTTGTTTGTACATCGCACATGTTCATCGAATGTCTTTAAGATACATGCTAGTCGATCAAAAGTAATTCAGTTCTGTGATCCATCCATCATGTTTTATTTTTTCTTGTGCTTGGCATGTCTCACTGGCGTGTCTCTATCTCGCTTCTCATTGCTTTCATCAGTCACATGTTTATAATGTGTTCTTTAGCTCAGCGACATAATGCGACGAAAGATATGGTAGAGGAGCTGAAAAATGCAAAAAAGCATATCGTCATCTTTCACATTTAATTTTTCATTTTATTATTTTTTGTTAAATTATAAAAGTTTTTAATTTTACAGAAAGGAGAGAAAATGCAGTAAAGTGAATAAATATTTTTTAAATGGAGATGAAAATATTGTCAGCGATGTGAATAAATTAGGGCGTTTAATGCTGATGAGAAAATATTTTTTATGGTTTTGAGGTTAAAATGCGTCTTATACACTGACTTGCTAGCTTTTCTACTTTAGCAGTTCTTTCTAAAATTGATTAAAATTCATAAATTCGATAAAATTCATGAAAATTAAAAATAAAAAAATTAAAGTTGAAAATTAAAAAAGCGCTCCATGCATAATTTTGCAGTGACTTTGTTACTTGAATTTTCAAAAACTGGCAAAAATTTAAATTTTGTACTAAGAAATTTGAAAAATTCAAAACAGTTGAAATTTGTTGCAATTTTTTAAAAGCGCTTTATCGTCTATCCTTCAGTGATTTTGCTACTTGAGCTTAAAAATTTAACCGAAATTCTCACTTCGCGAAAACCGCGCTTATAATCCACGCACAAAAATTCCCCAACTTATCTCATGGCACATGCCACAAAAATGTTTCATAAATTTGCCGCTATTGGTCGCACTCTTAGCGGTCTTTCTATCTTTTCAACATAGAAAATGCCTTTGATGTTTATTCTGTTCCTTTATATATTTCATTGTCACATACAATTTCAACATTTACATTAAATTAAACCAACATGTAATTGAATTATATGTGTTTTAATTCTTTATTCCAACACAATAACAACAACAGCAACAACGTCAACAGAATTTATTATAAAAGAAATTTAAAAATAAATATAAATCGAAATAGAAAGGAAGATTAAAGTTGTACAAATTTACATTACAATAGGTGACTAGCAATTGCGCAGCTATCTAAACAACTTCGCGGTGTTTATTTCTGTGTTCTGTGTCATAATGCTGGATGTAAAAAAAGGAGAAAGGAAAGCAGGGACAGACAGTGGATAAGAGGATAGTTGATAAGTCATATAAATCACAATCAGCAACAACAATTTAGGAAAACAAGTTGTATCGCATTGAAAATGGGTTTGTTGTAGAAAGAGCGCATGTAACAGCTTGTGTGGATGAAATCATAAACTGAATGATGCAAAGATTTAAAACTTTACGAACTTAGTAAAGTATAACTTTTAGAAAATGAACTTAACGCACAGCTTTAAAAATATGCAATCTTACTGACGTACAGCTTTGATAACATAAGAACTTAGTGACGCACAGCTTTAATAGTAAACAAATTTAGTGACGCACAGCTTAAAAAACATAAGAACTTAGCGACGCACAGCTTTAAAAATGTAAAAATTTGATGCCGCACAGATTTAACAAAATGAAACTTGAAAACATACAAACTTAATGATGCACAGCATTATCAAAATAATTCTAAGTGCCGCACAGCTTCAGCAACTCGTGATCATAGTAACGCAAAGCATTTACAGCATACAAAGATAATGACGCTCAGCTTTAAAAATACTAAAACTATTTGATGCTCAGCTTTAACAATCCAATAATTATTTTGAAAATCTACGGACAAATTGTCAAAATCTTTAACTTTATTTTATAAAATACAGGATCATCCCTATTCCTATGCGATCACATAACACAATTCATTGAACAATATAAAGCGCATCATGTTGAAGCGACATAATATTATACCGTTGTCTTTGCTGTAAATTTATGCTCTCGAATTGTATGTTGATTGCAACAATGTGAATAATTAAAAAATTTTATGTTTATCTCTTCACTTTGTGTGTCGCTTCTTTTATTACTGTTTTGCTCTGAATGATGTTAAAAAGGTTTTGAACTGGATTAAGATAGAAAATTGTTGAAATTTTGTCTCTTAGATTTGGAAAATTCTGGAAAAATTTGAATTTCAATTTTTTTAAAAAAAATCTTTTAACCTTCACAATATTTATTCAATCTCTCATCGTCAATTCTCTCAATTGATAATGCACTCTTTTCCCTTCTTTTTCTATCCCAAAAATATCGCTGATGACAAATTCAATCATCAGCTTACTAAACATTTTATGCGATGTGCGTTCTTACTCATCACCAACAAATCAAGAAAAAAGGCAGCAACATGTGATGCATGAATCTTACTGTAACATGTAGGAAAGTCACCCCTTGCATTGTGCCATAAATAACAAACGCAATGAATTCAATTTTCATGTTTTCCAGCTCAACTAATCGAAATGTTCTTGCTTAGATGAGGAAGTTTTTTTATTTAATATTTTTTTTTGTCGCATGATTGGAGAAAATTTCTTTGTGATGAAAATGAATTTTCTTGGTTTTTTGGCGATATCATAAATTTTTGAGGCGATAAAATAATGATGTGATGGAAGACGGAAGATATTGAGAGAATGATCAAAGAATAGAATTAGAAATAGGATAAAAAAGTTTGTCGATGAAAAGGCGCTCAGTTTTAAGACGCTTAGCTTTAAGACGCTCAGCTTTAAGACGCTCAGCTTTAGAAAACTCTGCTTTAAGGCATTCAGCTTTAAGACGCTTTACTTTAAAACGCACAGGTTTAAGACGCTCAGCTTTATGTTACTCAACTTTAATACGCCCAGCTTTAATGCAGTTCGGTTTAAGACGCTCAGTTTAATGGTAGTCAGCTTAAAAACACTCAACTTTAAGACGCCCAGCTTTAATGCGATAAGCTTAAAGACGCTCAGTTTTGTGGTGCTCAGCTTTAATGCGGTTAGATTTAAGACGCTCAGCTTTGTGACGCTCAGCTTAAAACACTCAAATTTAAGACATGAAAGAGCAACACCATGTAAACAAATCATCTATTTGAACCTCACTGTTGCTTGGCTCACTGCAAAAGAAGGTTTAGTTTTCAAGAACCATTTAAATACGAAAATACTGAATGTGCAATGCTTTAAATAAGATTCCTTAGTCAATGAATAGCTAGCTCTGTATTAGGTAATTTGTGGAATTATAAAGCTTGAAGCTAGATCTTTCTGGATTAGTGGCTGTATAGCAATGATGTTTCAAATGGTTCTGATCAACCTCAAAAATAGAATTTAATATCTTATGTAGGAATATAACAGGAACAGTACATGGCAAACGAATACAAAATTTAATTTGAAGTTTATTCAAGAAATTTTATTTAAACAACTTAAGTCGTAAAACAATTTTAGTCCTGACACATAAACATACTAAGACAGACCCTATTCCTAGCAACATCATACAATTTCTGCTGAAAAAAAATCTTCCCTTCCCATTTCCTGTTTCATCTATTCACAATTTTTATTTATTTTTTTTTTCTATTTTTCTATAAATTTCTAAATAGCTACTTACGTAGTCATCAACTTGCGACAATGTATGCTCTCGATAATAATATTTTTTTTACAATGCTCTGCATTTACAGTCATTAAATTATTTAATTATAATAATTTACATATATGAACATACTTAGTGGAAAATAACATGATGTGGAAATAAAATTTTTTTTTTATATTTTATTCCTCTTCATTGTTGGGCCTGACTGGCTGTTGTTTTTTCCATTAATCCATGGATAATTGAAAAATTATAAATTGTTTGTATGGAAAAATTGATTGAAAAATTTACGCTTTAATGAAATTATGTCTCCTCATCCATATTTTTTATATTTTTATATTCCTTCTATTTATAGAGATATGAGTGCATACATTAAGGAAATATAGTCATGGAATAAAATATTTAAATTATTAAAAGTGTGAATTTTCAAATGAAAAAAACAGGAACTGGGATAAAAAAATGAATTTTGAGTGCTTGTTGGACATAAATCATGTTGATTTACTGACATAATTGATAGTTTTTTTTAAAGTTGAATTAGAATTTATTTATCTTTTTTAATTTCGGTCAATTATGACATAAAGTAAAGATATTAATGCAAAAAAATCTACAAATTTTAATAAACTTCATGAATTATTCTCTTTGTGGATTTATTTATCATAAAATATTTTGCAAAAATTCCTTAAATCCTTTAGTCAAAAGATAATTCAAAAGAATATTCATAAAGTTCATTTCAATATCTTGTTTGAAATTTGGAGCAGATGAAATTAAAGCTTTTGTATTGTGCTGGATTATGTAATTTTTATTGAGGAATTGTAAAAAGATAAATTTTTGTTCTATGCATTTTAATCTCGGGTGTACATTTCTTACATTTTATATGATAGAGCTTGCAAATTGAAACCTTAAAGTTGAGATTTTTTGAAATATGAATCAGTTTGTAGTCTGTTGATAAAAGCTGGATTGCACTTGGTTTTACCAATCTATTAGCTTATCAAGGAGACGAAAGTGGCTCTAGCCCCGGATTTCAAGTAAAAATTTATTAAAAACCTTAATATTTATTGTTGAGTGGGATCCAACGTTAAGTCCTATTTCAGAAGCATTTTAAGTTGATTCATGAATCATGGTTGATTTGTAAAGGTTCAGTTCACTTATTACGTAGTTTTAAGCTAGGAAGATTGGAGAGAATTAACGACTTTAGAAGATATTAAGCAAAGGATTTTTTCGTCTAAAACAGCATTGTTCAAACTTTTTGAGCCATGGCACACCTTAGGGGTAAGCCATTACCGATGTCGCTCACAACAGTCGGCTCGTGACATTTCCAAAAAAAATCTACGGCACACATTCTACTGACAAAGCTTCTCTAAAATGTGGTTTTTTGCCGAACGTAAAGAGTGAACAGCATTCAAGCCACTAAAATTAGTGATTTTGATACAACATAAGGCGATTTTGGGATATTAAAATATTTTTAAATGTTTTATTGACTTTATTAAGCAAAATTTACCGACTTATACATGAAAAGTGCATTATTTATTTTCTTCTAAATCTTATTTTCTGAATTATTACATCCTTAATTAGCACAATAGCTTCAATTAACTCAAACCATGTCCTTTTCAAACATTTCATTCTTATTACTTCAATAGAGTTCCTAGTAAGACTTCAAACTAAGAATTTGTTATTGTTCAATGATAAAAGCAAAAATTTTCTTATTTTTGAAACTTTTTAAAAAATATTCCTGCTGATATCTTTTGATATTAATCCTATTGAACCAAAAACATGTCTATAATTTCAAAGGACAATTCGATACACTATAAACATAAAGATTAGGTAAAATAAAATAAAAATTAGAATTTATCTCAATGATACCTTCATTAATTTAACTGACCTGTAATCAAATAATTACTCAATCCTTTCTATCCCAAATAAAACTCGTCGTCTTTCAAAAAGACCTATGAGAAATTAAGAGATAAATTTCATAAAAAGTCATAAAACCCACGAAAAAAGAAGAAGAATAAAAACTAAGAAAATATACAAAGCATAAAATAACATAACACAACGAACCGCTAAATTGTTTATGCTGCTCATCATACACTCATTCATTTACAACAGTTTTTTTAATGTTGTTGTTATTCTTCTCTCGATATATGTTTTTCAACTCCATTCTGTTTTGTTTTTTCGGGATCGATTCACACGTAAATGTGAATTTGATAATTGTAGCCTGTGTGAAACACATCCGTCTCTTGCACTCTTGTTATTTACTGCATAAGTATATTATTAAAATTTTTTGTTGTTGTTGTTCAATATTCTGGAACTACATTAATATTTCAAAAACTTAACCATCCGATCCAAAAATCAAAAAAGAAAATTACTGCAACCTTTGCAATAATTATTAAATTTTCATTAGGCCACAAAATTTGAACCATTCAGCTCCAAAACTGAACCAATTGAACCCTAGAATCTAAATTGAATATTACTGCATCCTTTGCAATGATTATTAAATATTCATTTGGCCACAAAATTTGAACATGATATCTTCTGAAGCTGCGTAAAGTCCTCTCAAGCTTCGAGTTTTCTACTCAAGTTGCATAAAACCATGTCAAGTTTTGTGAAATCTTCTTAAGTTGCTGCAAAAACTGCGCTTTTAATTTCAATTCTCGATTTTAATTTCACAACTTTTCTTACAATGTTTATGTCGGTCCCGTTCGTTTGTTGTTACTTTTTTCTGTTCGTTCAAAAGAAACAAAATTATAACGCCATATAACTTGATTCAAGATTTTTTCCACTCATTTTTTTTGTACCAGTCCGACAACAAATATCCCTCAATGATATTCCAAAAGGAATTTTTTTTCAAGATTTTTATTGTGGACTCATTAAAGCCACACTTCTTTTTCTCATACAGAAAAAATTTGTTTTTGACTTTCTCGATGATAATTCAATTCGACACGATAGTATTGATAGTGAAGTTTTTATGACTCTTTTTGTGACTGTGTTGCATTTGATTTTTAAAAAATTCCTAGTTTCAGAATAAAGGGTACTTATAACAAATTGTTTGTCTCGTAGGAATTTCCAACATCCCTCATTGTGTCGGAAGATCTCACTTACATGCACAAAATCCTAAACTACACATAACATTAAGATAAAATATAAAAATCAGATATAGAGATGCAATAAATTGTTTTTCTCATTTAAGATATTTTACATCTCCATCATCTCTCTTATGTAAGATGCAGACAATTTAATGAATTAAGCATAGATAATTGTTGAACAAGGCATAAAAAAGATATATTCCTGGTATGGTCTTATTGTTTGTTATGTCTCTAAATCTCTAACATGCTTTAAACATAAATTTTAAGGGAATCATCAATGAAAATAGGAAATATTCATCTTATGCATGCCATTACTTGATGATATTGTTTTGCTTGATGGTCTGTAGTGTGGATTTTAAAAATTGTGTGTGAGGTTAGAGGATTTATATCAACTTGAGAATATTACGATCGACTAGAGCGAGTTTTTTTTTAAAATCAAATTAAGAGAATTAAGATCAACTTGAGAGTTTTTTTTTTATCAAGTTGAGAGGATTTTGATCAACTTGAAATGGTTTTTTTTTATCAAGTTGAGAGGATTAAGATCAAATCGAGAGGATTTAGATAAACTTGTTAAGATTTAGATCAACTTGAGAGGATTTAGATCAACTTGAGAGAGTCAAGATCAACTTGAGAGGATTTTAATTAATTTGAGAGGATTTTAATCAACTTTAAAAACCTTAAATCAATTTGTGAGATATTAGATTAACTTGACAGAAGTTAGACCAACTTGAAAGGATTTGGGAGGGTGTTTTTAATAAGGTTAAAATAATTAAAATAAACTTGAGAGAATTAATATCAATTTGAGAGAACTTGATCAACTTGAGGAGCTTCTGATCAACTTAGAAGCATTTATATCAACTTGAGACGATTTAGATCAACTTGAGAGGGTTTAAATCAACTTGAGAGAATTAACATCAACTTAATAGGATTTTAATTAACTTGAGAGGATATAATCATCTTGAGATTTGGATAAACTCAACTTAAGGATTCACATTATAGATTAAAAATTTCATCAACTAACTGCAACGAGCTACCCTGCCTAGTATAATAGCCCTCAGGGTTCTAAAATAGATGAAGAAAAATTAACTCAGAACAACTCAAAAAATATTCCTTAGGATTAGGATTAATGATACATTTGTGGTTAATATGGTGTTAACTATTTCCATTTTTCGAAGAAGTAAAAATTTATTTTTACGTTTCAATTAACAACAAAAACAAATTGAAAATTAATTGGGTGAGCAGGAAATGGTTCATTCATGTCTCTCTCGTGAGTCTTAAGCACTCTGATGGTCCATAAAAATTCTAATTTTAGACGCAAAGAAACCCCAAAATGCAACAATTCATATTCGTTTCCCGATTCTCGACAGCAGCACGTGTTTGTTGATCGTTATCGACTGCATACGCATTGCACTCGTATTAATAACCAATACTGTACAGGCGAGAAGGGATAATTTTCATATGGAGGGTAACAAATACCCCCTTCGACTTTAAAATCACGACAGTAAATCTTTCATTTTCTTTCTATTTCTTTGGTGACAATACGGAAAACCTTAAATTGATGTCCTCGTGCGCACGACTTTATTTGTAATTTAATATTTTTAAACTGATGACATTACTCTTGCGGCTGCTGTTGGTTGAGGATGATTTTGATAAGAAAATTATGGAATAAGAAATTTTCCAGCTATTTTAAATGTTTATTTTTAAGGATTCTATGTCCAAGTAGTACATTGATTTTGATTGAAAGGCTTCCGTAACGAATTTTTATAGGATTTGACTCTCAACCATATCTTAACCTCGGTACATAATGTTTTGGCGCCAAAATCATTGCTATACTTCACGGGATTAGCACTCAAATAATATTTCTTAGAAATAATGAATTCTGTCTGTGCTCTGACCATCTCTCCACAAGATCTTCCATAAATTTGTGCCATAACCTAACTTTTTCAAATAAAATTTTACATTATCGCTATCAAACTCATTGCATGCTTCTTAACATCACATTGCGCTATAAAATCTCACGCCAATAAATCTTCTGTTCCCGATTTTCTTTCTCGTAAATCTCTCCATCCATTCACTTCACTCTATTCCTCATCATATCCAATCCCTGCGGTAAGAAATTTTGAATGAAATGAATTAAGATAATTTATAGTCGCCACGTAGTAGAAATGAATAAAATGAGAGAAGAAAAAAAGACTTTATTACCTGGTGAAAACATCATTGTTGTCAAGACATTTGACAGATTTAAGTCGCGGAAGCTGTAAAGATGGAAGGTTTCTTTCTTACTTGAAGGAAGCCACAAAAGAATAAAGGAGAAAAAAAATTAAATTATGGGATCATTAATTTAAATTTCTTTTCTTTTTTGCAGCGATTTTGCTTTTGTGGATGAAGGAGAGGTGTAATGAAAAACAAGTGAGGAAAAATTTCTGGTCTTAATTGGTTAGAGCGCATTTTTAATTCATTTGAATGAAGTTTAGTGGATAATTTAATTTTTAAAATTTAAATCCTTTTTCATTTTAACGGATTTAAATTTTTTAAACATACCAGAAAATTTCAGAAATTATACAAAGTAATTCATTCATCATCTCCATATTTAGATTTGAAACTTAAAATTATCTGCAATTCTACATTTACAAATAAAGAAAATCTATTTTCCCGCTTAAAAACGACGGCATCGGCTTAGTTCTTTTAAATTTTCCATCAAAAATATCATTTAAGTTTGGATATATCGTCCCAAAATGCTCCATCGCTCAATATTCAAAACAAACTTAAAAATAATAGCAAAAGTGGAACTCAACGCCGCCACAAAATCTACTTTTAATGTTTTTTTTCTTCACTTCTTTTGCACAAAAATCTCAAAAGATTGATGACTTAAAAAAATATTTTTTCCTTCTTATTCCTTCAGATCTTTGACATTATTGACAAGAATGAGTGTCAAAGAATAAGATGAAGGGGGGAACGAGTGTAAGTGAGTAAGTCAGCAATAGCACGAGTAATTTTAACAAATCGTATTGTGAATATTAATAATGAAAATGAGAAGAAAGTTTATTTTTAGTAACAATACGTCTCAGTGGCATAAAATGTGGTAGAATAAAATAAAATTTTCGGTTTTTGAATAATTGACAGCGGTGCTCGTAAATTCATTTGCGTCGTTCATTTTTGATTGAGTAAATGAGACGAAAAGTTTTAAAAAGTGTTGAGCAATTTAAGATTAAGAATGTTGATGAATGGATTAGATATTGTCGTTGTGACAGGTAGAGCAGGGGTATTGGGAAGCTTATGTACTTTGCTCATTTTTAATTGGGAGTAATTCGATTATTACGTAAATAAATGTAAATTATAAGAAATTTTGCAGCTGAGCGTTTTCACATCTGAGCGTATCTTCAGCTGGACATTCTTAAGGCTATGCGTTTTAAGGCTGAGCTTTCTTATGACTGAGCGTGCTTTTAGCTGAGCGTTCTTCCGGCTGAGCGTTTTTCCAGCTGAGCATTCTCAGAGTTGAGGGTTTCGATAGCGAATTACTTTTTAATGTACATAGTTGAGTCGAGAAAATATTTAAACTTTGATTATGATACAAAAAATAAGTTTGATTCCTCCTTTACAGAACATACTTATTAAATTCCCCCGCAAATTCTGACATCCAATTTTTGCACATCCAGCTCCGAGCCCCTCCTTGACAAAAAACCCACTCGAAAATTAAAAATTATTTATTTATAAAAATAAAATTGCAATAAAAACAGCCGAAATGAGGAAAAATTTTCATAGACCGCAATTATTTCCTTCTCATTATTCTTCCGTTCAAGTATCCACTTCCACTTCAATTGCTCCCTCGACGACTCCAATTCTTTTACAGGAGATGAAGAAGAAAGAAGTGTACAACCGTCAATGAAAGCAAGCTAATTAAGTAATCTCACCAATGCTCAATTATATTAAAAGAAAACTCCAATCAATTCCAGCTCATTAATTTTTCTCATAAAAAACCGTAGTGAGAGAATGGAGATAGAAAAGGAAGGAAAGGAAATAAAAAAGAAATAATTTAAATTTTTCTTTCTTTTTTACTTTTTACTTACAGGAGGAATAAATAAATAAAAAGGCGAATAAAAAGAAAGTTGGAAGGGTTTAATGGATAGTTGGTGATTGATGATAAGATGGAGAATTGATGGCTTTTTTGTTGAATGGATAAAATGGGTGTAGGAAATAAAGAGTTTTATGAAGTTCGCGGTTATATTGAGAATTTATTGCATTTTATACGACCACAAAATTATTTTCAATCATTAAAACTGAGCGTTTTTAAGTCTTTGCGTCAGTAAGGCTGAAAATTCTTAAGTCTATGCGTTATTAAGGCTTGACATTCTTAAGTCTGTGCTTCATTCAGCCTGAGCATTTTCAAGTCTTTGCGTTATTAAAGCTGAAAGTTCTTAATTCTGTGCGTCATTTAGGCTGAGCATTCTTAAATCTATGCGTCATTTAAGCTATGCATTTTTAAGTCTGTGCGGCATTTTTAGGCTAAGCGTCACTAAGGCCATATATAATCAAAACTGTAATTTTCCAATTTCCAAAAATATCAACTGAAATAAAAATTTTATGGAGTTTAAAAAAAATCTGAAACAAAATTAGCTGCTTCTGCTTAAATAAGAACAAGCTCTAAATTACATAATTAATAAGACAAGTATATTTTCATTATTTTTATATCTCGAATAATTTCTTTTATCTTTCTTTTCAGCTCGAGAAATAAATTCATAAATTCTATTCTTTTATTACACAAATTCATAAGGATGTATTTACACATATCTAGAAAAAAAGGAAAGGTTTCACTTAAATGCCTAAACTATACAATAAAATAAAAGTAGATAGAGGGGGGATTTAATCACAGTTAAGCGTTTTTGTGTCAGTCTCATGAACTTTCTGACTATCATCATTTTGATGCTGTTGTTGATGTTGCTGTTGATCCTGCCGATGCAAATGGTTCTCATAAATGTTGAAATTCTGTGGATTCCATGTGTATGATGAGCTATTCTGCATTTGCGGTTGCATGTGACCTTGCTGCTCCATTGCATTTAGATCACCAACTTTTACATACAATTGCTCACCTTGCATGCCCAAATTTATACGAAAATTTTGTGGCTTCATCAGCTTCAGTCGATTACTTTTATTTGAGTTAAATTTTGTGCAATTTTGTTGTTGTTGATGTTGCTGATTATACATATTTGGCATCATTGTATTAGCCATGCGATTCTCCACAATATTAACTTTATTTGAGCCATTATTTGTATATGATTCGGAATGGAGACTCCTATTATAGTTATTATTATTATTATTAGTACAATTTTGCATCGGTGGATATACGTCTGTGGTGTAGAACATATTAAAGCGTTGTGGATCGCTGCTTATAATTTTTGAATTTCCAATTAATGTAGCCGTCGCATACGGCGATGGAGAGGGTTGTGCACTACGACATGATGTTGATGACACTTCTGCATATTCAGCTGGACCTTCAGAATATACTGCCATGTATCTGTGGACGAGCGAAAAATATTTATAAATAAATTAATTATAATTTATTATGAAAATGCTTTTAAGTTTCATGTTTTTTTTCTGTGGTTTGCAAAAAAATGTACTTGATGTTGTGGAGAAAAAAATTGCAAGTAAGAAAGTCATGAATGAAGTTGATGAAAAAAGGCGCATTTAGAGAGTTTCAAATTTCAATTCTTAAAGTTGACAGTTTAAATAATTTGAGATGTTTTTCGAAAATGTTATTACCAAAGATGAATTTCACAATAACGGACTATTTATTTTTGAATTTAAATCCACGTGATTTTTGCTCCACCTCGAAAAGTATTTTGCTAATATTTCTTAATTAAACCTGTATATAGCCATAAAAATTATTAAGTTATAATGCAAAAAGTAGCAAGAGTTAACTAAATCATATTAGATTTGCAAATCCTTTTAAAATCATAATAATTTTCAATTTTTTCATATTTTTCAATTAATTTTACCAAACTAGCAACTCAATTTGAGAGCAATTTAACATTCGCAAAAAAGCATTCCTCGCTAAAAAATGCATTACGTAATAAAAATATTCTCAACATCACGAAAAAAAAGTCATCGGAAATTAATAAATTTATGGGCAGCACAAATAGTAATTGAATTTCCATTACGACCTTCTCATCGACGATTTTTTTCTCAATTCAACAATTTTTTTTGCAATTCACAAATTTAAATTAAATTGAATAAAAAACACTCACCGATTTCGAGAGTCATCATCGATCGTGATACTATTGGATGAAGGCAGAGCTGTACACATGGGCGAATAGTCGGGAATGTGAGAATCTTTAACATGATTTGATTTCCATATTGTACCCGATGGATCCATCCAATAGCTATTATTCACTTTTGTTGAACCGAAACTTGATGGTAATCCAAGTGATGATTGTTTTGACATGATGTGTTTTCGTTTAATGTACACCATGACGCCAAATGAGAGCATTATAATGACTAATATCGTACCCAATAAGATAATGAACCATGGTTGTGTCAAGAAGTCATTCAAGTGCTCATTGTGGAGTGGGAATCGGTATGAAAATGACGTATCCAATTTTTTCGTTGTTGGATCAAGTCGCATGATGATTGGCATTCCAAATGGACCTAATCCAGCATTTGTCATTGCTGCTACACTCACTGTATACGTTACACCTTCTGTTAAATTTGCAAGCATGATTGATGAACGTGTAGCTTCAATTGTAAGATTTGTAAGAACCTTTGAGATATTCTCATAAATATTCACGCCACGTACAATCACGTTGTAAGATTTTAGTACACCATTATAAAATTTGGCAGGTGGTGCTCTCCATTTTACGTAAACTGTCGATGTGTTGAGCAATTTTGCTTCCATATTTGATGGTGCTTCACTCGGAACTGTTGAGTAAAAGAATATTTTATTAGAATTGTATTATAAGTAGTGTGAGGCACTTCCATTTCCACAAAGGAAGTAGAGTAAAAATTTAAATAATTCAAAAAACAAACTCACCATCCTCAAGCGTTCGAGTGATTCGTGAATTTGATGGCTTGCCTTCAACAGCCTTGTAGAAAGGTACAATGAAGAACTCATATGTGGTAAATTTTTGTAATCCGTCAATTTTACATGATGATGCTCCACTGCCTGCATTTAGAACTGTCAACATTCTGTATGATGGTTGACTTTCATTATCTAATGAATTTTCATCGATATTACGAGCGTAGATGTAGAAGCCTTCGACATATCTTCCATTTATGATCTGTGAAAATAGAGGAAAAGTTTTAGTAATTTGCATTTTTTTTGTAGGAACATTTTAGAGGTTCTGAAATTGTCTAAATTTAACGGTTTTTGAAATTTGAAAATTTTAACTCAGCCACGTGTTTTTTTCATCCTCAACTCAAAAAGTTTTTGTATTTATAATTTAACTGTTGAGCTTATTTTATGCAAAAAAATGTTATATTCTTGTTCAAAAAAGTGGCAAGAGCTAAATAAACAACTGGTAAACAACAATTTGGTTTAATTTTTACAAATCATCAAAGAAAAATCATTTTATTGTTTATTTTGAAGCAAATTTCACACAGCATTATCAAATTTCCGAGAAAAAAAATACCAAGTAAATATCAGAACCTCTACAAATATGCCTTTCGCTCAGGTAAAGAACACGAAACAAGAGAAGATTGTATAATACACATTCATATACTCACATCCCACGTTAATTTTGTCGCTGTTGATTCAACAGATGTAGCATTTGTCAATTCAATAACATCACCAGATAACAAACTTGCTCTTGCCTCGCTCAAATCCAAGTTTGAATTTGTGTCATCCTATTGTATGGGAAGGAACAGACGAGAGAAAAAAAGATAATAATTATAGTCCTTATTCATCAATTTCTTTTACTTTATACGACTTACCACTCCTAATGTAACTGGCTCTGACAATTGACTCGGTCCCGACACTCCATGTGAATTTTCAGCACGTACAGCAAAATAGTAAGTCATACCACTCCTTAATCCTTCAATTTTATACGATGTCTCTTGAATACGATTCGCAACTTCTACCCAAGTTTCTGTTAAATTTCTCGAAAACATTTCAATTTTGTAACCGATAACACTTGATGCACCGAAGGCGTTACTCGGTATCCATGTTAATTTAACGCTATTGTCAGTCTTCTCGAGTATCAGAGGACGACCTGGTTGACCTGGCAATGTTGATGGTTCGGGTGCACGATAGAATTTTATGTTTGGATTTGTTGGCACTTCAATTCTCAAAAATCCACTCCATGTCGATTTACCACTTTTGCTGCTAGCTACGCACGTATAAAGTCCAATATCGTCATTTTTATTCAATTCTGTTATTGTCAGCAATCCATTGTCCTCAATAGTGATTTTATCAGACTGAACAACTGGGATGCCATCCTTATACCAGCTTATAACTGGCTTTGGTGTTCCAATAGCTCGACATGGCAACGATGCAACAGATTTAATCGGTAATGTTTGATTCACAGGTCCTTGAATGATTTGTGGAGGTGGTGAATCATCTTGAAGATTAACTGACAAAACAACTCTTGTGCTGACACTACCAACACTATTTACAGCACTGCACACAACAACCTTTCCATTATCACTTCTGTCAATCTCATCTATTGATAAAATACTGCCTCCATCAGCTGTCAATGATGCTTCCATTTTCTTTGATTTCATTCCCGGTAAGATGAGCGATCGATTACCCTCAATTGTCCAAAATAATGTCGGTTCAGGATATCCGGTCGCTTGACATTCAAATATGACTTCACTTCCTAACTCACCGATTTGTGATTTTGGACGTATTGTGAACGATGGCGGTGCTATATTGTGAATAATAATTATATTGTTATCGAGAACAATGAAGCTATCTGATTGTATATACTTACAATGTACGAGAAGCATTCCAGCGGCGACAATTGCACCAACGCCATTGTCAGCTTCACATATATATTCGCCAACATCTTCCATCGTTATATTATCAATTTTTAAGCTTCTATCTTCGAGTATGTGAACGCGATCTGCATTTTTTGTGTATGTCAGCAATGAGAATATGTGGAATAAAGAAAAAGAGAATCAATTTAATGCTTTTTATTATTTTCTATATATGCCATGACTATATATGTATGTTATGTGACATGCAATTGTTGTAATTTGTATATTCATGAATGTATAATAATTGAATTGAATTGACTTGACTTGACTGACTTGACTTATTGTCATGTGTGACAATCTAATCATTTAATAATTCATGTCCTTTATACAATTTGATATGAATTTGTTGATATAAATCACTGAACTGATGAAGGCCAATGATGTTATCTGTATTATGTCGATTGTGCAGATGCTTATGTGATGAAATTGGAAGTAAATTGATGAAATGAATTTGATACGGTTGTTGGAAATTGGAGTTATTTGAATCATTAAGTGAAAGATTCTGCAAATTTTGGTTATTTGCAAGGATTGGAATAAATGAATGGTTTGGAATTACTTTCCATTAAAGCAACTTTTCATTGGAAGGACTGGAAACATTGAGGCTTCTTTATTTTGGAAGGACTGGAAGGATTGTGACTAGTTTCCATTAGAAGGACTGGAAGGATTTACATTTTTTTATATTGGAAGGAATGGAAGCATTGAGACTAGTTTCCATTGGAAGGACTGGAAGGATTGAGACTTCTTTCTATTAGAAGGAATGGAAGGATTGAGGCCCTTTTTTCATTGGAATAATTAAAACATCTTTCCAGTGGAACTGAGAATTCTTCCAGTAAAAGAATTTAATCAATTCTCATTCCCTGTTACCTCCCACTCCCATTCTAAAATTTCCATTAAATCAACAAAATATTTCATGGATGTTCATGATACAATTTCAACTTGTCCACATTTAATGCACATATTGCATTCCTTTTCAACATCATGACACTATAAATATGTAAGTAGAGTACCAGATAGTGACAGAGAGTCTCATCTGAATAATTTTGCATTTCAAAAATTGTTCCTCATTGCATATTGTGTATGCACAATTACAAATTCATTACAGCATTATATGTATTTGCACATGCACAAAATAACATGTCACGCTTGTTATCGTTATTTCTATTTTATATATTTTTAAATGCTGAGGAGATTCATAAATTTACATACAATGATGTTTTAACTCTACGCCCCGTAACATTGTGAGGGAATTTAATTAGATCGACATTATGCAATGAATATATGTGTTAAAAAGACATAACATGCATGTCTCATACATACTCGACATTTTCATAATATTGAATAGAATTGTCTCTTACCTAAAGGCATATTTCCACCTGATGCCGTACGACGCCATAGTACGTCAGGTAATGGTTCACCACCTACTCTACATTGAAAGATAACGGAACTTCCAGTTACTGTCGTTTGATTTTGTGGACCACGTATGAGAAATGGCTTAACTGTAATATGAAAAACAGAAGATTGGATATAAGAGGTGTCATGAGACATACGGATATAAATTTTATTTTAGGAATATGTCAATAACTTACCCATAACCTTTAGAACTGCAACGGCTGATTCACGTACACCTACAGCATTTTTGGCTATACACTGATAACGTCCATCGTCCGATTGTTGAACATTTTGAATGACTAAATTACCACCATCGGCAATACGAATTCTGTAAAATGAAAAGAATAAGTCCATGAATTTATGTAAAAGTTTCTGAGGATGTAAAATATTTTAAAATGATGGAAAATATGCTCTTTACATGTAAGCATAATGGATTTACAGCATGAAAAGGAATATTAAATTAAATTGAATTGAAAAAGCTAAAAATTGTTGGGAATGGGTAGAATGAGAGAGAAAAAGACTTGCATGCATGAGAGAGCATAAATGAAATGAATGAAAAGGCTTTGAAATAATTAAAAGGCTTATCAATGGACATAAAGTCTACATAATGAATGTGTATATAGAAAATAGATAGTAAAACAGGGAGAAAATCGCTGTTGATGAGAGTTTTATGCTGCACGTTGTTGATAGATAATGATTTTCATTAAAGGATCATTAAAGAGGAATGGATGTGAGAGTTTTAATTAAATTTAAGTAATTTAGGTCTTGAGTGCGTATTATGTACAAGAATTTTCAGATAATGCACTTTTTGAAAAAGTAATGATGCAAATGAAGATGAATTTGCTTATTAATGCTTTGTGCCAGACTTTTACTAAACGAACAATTAAAATTTTCAAAGATTGAAGCTAATCTGCAAGTTTAATGGAAATACAAACTTTAAAACGCGCATTATCAAAAGGAAATTCCTTTAACACTTAAAAATTGAACTAAAAGTCTTCTCAATCTCGGTAAATTCCTCCAAAAAACTTTCATTCCACCCACTTTAAAACTTATCATATTACAATGCAAATTTCTCAATCTTAATTAATACTCCTCCAGCTTCGCATTTAGTCACAATCCCCCTTTCTTCATTTTCTACTACACAATCAACAGAACTGAACGAATAACAGAATCAGAAGCACTATCAAGTAAGGAAGCATGAAAAAAGTAGAACATTTTTGCATTTGGGTATAGCATGAAGAGGAAAATTAATTTCTCAAATGCTCTTTACTTCGATGCACAAACGGCAATGGCTATTGATAGCTGAATATGAAACTACAGTTTTTACTCCTTTCCTCATTCTATTTTTCAACATAGTCATCGTCATTGTCGGATGATGGGAGGAGAGAGATTTTAAATTCCGGAATATTTTTTTACTTGAAAATTGTTGATGAAGAAGAGTTAAGGTGAGGATTGGCTTGATGCCTGTTACTGGGTTTTAATAGACTGCGATCTTTAGTGATTGAAAAGATCTGTTGCATACTTCATAAAAGTGTAAGCATTTAATGAAGTATTGAATATTATCAAATACTTTAAGAATTCAAGTAAAAAATGCGCTCTTTGTACCATCTTCCAGTGACTTCCTTACTTGTTCCTTTTTTCGACTAGTTTTTCCTCTCACTCTCATTCCACATTTTGTCGATAAACTGAGAATAAAGTTTTTCTCCATTCCGGACAACTCGGTGCATATCTTTTATTCTTCATTCTTCGTATACAATAATATTTTTTTGCATGCACAAAAAAACTTAAATCCATTGAAATTTATTTCACCGAATACGAGAATCGGAATGAGTAAATTCACATTCATATAATTATGGCATGAATGCATAAATATAATAGAATATAAAAAAACGAAAATTGATTTCCATACCTTTTCAGACCTGTTAAGTCCATCGTCTGTCCATTCTTTCTCCATGAAATTATTGGCTCAGGATTACCACGCGGTGGACCACATTCCAGCATGACTGTTTCACCATGAGCGGCATTCGTGTCTTGTGGCTCTAAACGAAATTCATCGCGTAATGTTGCAACTCTCAATGTTGCATTACGACTTCTCGCCATTCCAAGCTCATTTCTCGCCTCGCACCAATAAATTCCTCCATCTGATTCACGACGTGTATATGTTACAGATAATAGAAGTAAATCACCGGTTGGCAAAAGCATTTGCCGCGATGGATCAATGGTCAGCCTCTTGCCATCTTTAAACCATTCAATTTTTGGGTCAGGCGAGCCTTCTGCTTTACAGTGTAATGTGTATGGCGTGTTTCTTGGCACAATGCTATCGTGTGGATGCTCGATTATTGTCGGTGCCTCTAGTGCTGTTTATAGAAATAGAAGAAAAAAATAAGAAGGAGGAAATTACATTAAAAATTGGAATCGCATTTCTTCATTGAATATACATAAAATTGTGTTTTGTGGAATAGATTGGAATTGGAGATTATTGAATGGAGAGAGAGCTCTTCCCATTATAGAGACCGTGTATTATTATTGCTCCAAGACTGCTCTTTTTATTGTGAGTATAAGTACTCATGACCAGATATATTGTGTCTCAGCTATCTTCGCATCTTTGGTATCTATTCTTTAAGCGTTTTGTTTTATATTATGGGGAAGGAGCTAGGTAAGGTGTGGACTATAGAGTGACCAGTTGTCAATGATTTTGATTAGGAAACTTTAACGACATTAATAGATTTTGTCAGAATTTTATCCGATTTTACCAGACAAGAACTGTCAGAATATTCCCTGAATTAGCTCGATATTCTACTAAACTATCCAAAATGCGCCTTATTCCCCAATGCCTCCAAACTCTCTATTTCTATGAAAAATTATTGTACAATTTATTCGCAAAACACACAACAATGCCCTGTAGATTTATTTGCGTATTTTCTGGTAGATTACATTTCTTTCTCTCTCTTTTCTTATTATTATTATGGATATGGATTTACTTATATGTACATTTAATTCTTTTCTTTTCTTCGCTTCTTTTTTGCCTTTTATATTTTTCTCCTCTTCTTCTCCTACTTGCTTTCTTGTTGTTATGTGAAACTGATCTTATCTTAACTACTGACTGGCTCCAAATACAAATCATAAACATATTTTTTACATTCATTTTTCTTATTCTTTTTTTTTCTGTTGTTGTTGGAGATGAGAAAAGCGATGGCAAAAAAATCAGCGAAATTGGATAAGAAAGGAAAATTTAACGGATATTTATTGGAGTTTTTACTGTTGATCAAGATTGTCGAGAATTCTAGGAATGTAATGGTTTGAAACTTCTGGGTAATTCCATGAGTGAAAAAAATTTTGTTGCACCAATTTTTCAAAAATATTTCCTTAACTAAGAACTTTGTACTCCAAATTGTAACTTTATTATGTTTATTAACACAATATTTATCTCCATATGTGAGAATTTCACATCAGAAATATGTCTAATTTTTATTTTTTTAATAAAAGTAAAATTAATCGGTCAAGTTTTCGAAAAATCGTTTTCTAAACATTTCCTAATATTTATTTAAATACACACTTCTATGTTCCAAAGTTACTTTTAACATATTAGATATTAGCCAGGCTTTTGTTTTATGTATAATTTGCATTCCTTAATGCTGTAATTAAGAAGAAAAACCAAAAACACTAGCATTAATCGGTCAATTTTTGACCGATTATTGCAAAACAGAACACTGAAAAAATTTCAAATTCACAAAAACCGTTAGACTTTCTTGATTTTACTTGTAAGTTTATTAGATTTATTTGATTTAATGGAGCAAATAACTCAAGTTTCAAAACATTAAAGATCATATATATTTGTACCATCTCTCTTTGATGATATTGCGGCTAATTCACTTGTAAAAACAACAAAACGTTAAGAAATTATAACGGTTTTGGGAAATTTGAATTTTTACAAGTAGAGAAATATTGTATAGTGCTTTTTCACAGTTCTCATTACTCATGGAATTACCCTTCTGTGGTCTACAATTGGTGTGCTGCAGGGCAATTTTTCAGAAGTCAATGTATTGTGTAGGTTAGATTGAGGTTAGGTAAGATTTGAGAAAATTATTCGGAATTTTGTGAATTTGAGATGAATTGTTTGAAATTTTGCAGGGTTGTTAGGTGACAGTTGGAGGTCAAGTTACTGATTTTAAACATGATCTATATTCTGAGGTGTCTTAAATATTTTTGCAGATTTTTCATAAAGCTAACAATCTATATTAATTTTCAAATCTAATCCAATCCAATTAAATCCATATAAATACAACCCCCAACCCCATTCATCACATAACCCACATAAATCCTCAATCCCACATCTACATCTCCACCATATCCAATAAAAATATGTTCATTTAATATACTCCATATCGCATATGAACATCCATTCATTCATACATTCATTTATTTCATGGGTATGGGGAAAGCCGTCTCGCTTCAATATTCGCTTGATTAGATAACGTCAGTTGAAGCATAAAAACAAGGCAGCAAATTTTTTTCTTCATTCATCTTTCGCATCTCTGATGACTGTTAATGAAGCGCAAAATGTTTATTGCCGAAAAGAAAAATAAAAGTTTTTTGTGTGTTTTTTTCCGTTGAATCATCAACTATTTTTTTTTTTTATCAGACATGAGAGGATGAAAGTCAGCGGGTTAGGAGCGATAAATGGATTTAAGTTTGACTTGGGCAGTTGCGTATGAGAGTCTTTTAGGAGCTATTCGCTTAGTTTGATCTATATATGGAGGAGGTGAGGTGAATTAGAGCTAGTTGACCCTAAAGACAGCTCAAAAATTGTGGAAGTCCAACAGAGTTTAAAAATCATATTCATGATTGACATCATCTACCAACAACCCCTTTAATTCCTCAAAAAAGTTAATATTTCATTATTAAAAAATGCATATCAAAGTAACTTCAACAAAAGACATCACCGTCTGTCAGCTCAACAAGGAGGGTGCCTCCTTTTTCATAAAAAAAACTAACTATATAGTCAAATTAAACGGAAACATTTGATAGATAAAAATCAGACTTTTTTGTTCATACGTATTAATAAGTAAAAAAGTGTTGGTTCATTGTAATGCTAATGGAATCGATTCATACACTCATATTGCTGCCCCCACAATTGCAGTGTAAAATATGACAAGTTAACAAATGGTTTTAACAGATCTATTCATGAATGTGTCCCGTCCACTCTAATCTAATAAGACATAATATATAATATTACATTTTTTTTCAACTAATTATGTGCTATTATTCATACACGTATAACTCGAATTTATCCTAATCTTGATGTAATTTTTACTTCCATCTATGTGTATGGCTATTAAATGTGTCAATAGTTGTTTAAGTCGATTAGGTTTTATTTTTATATTTCATTTTGTTTCTTGTTGAAAAAGACGAATAACAAAAAATTATTATTGAAGTTGCTTTATTACTTTAATTCATTCACAGGAAACTTTTTATAAGAATTCTATTTATTTTTCAACTCTGAATAGATCGTAATAATTGTAATTATGAGTGAATTATGGTATTGAATAATATTAAGGCTGGTTAAAGGAAGTGCTGTGTGATGTTGGGGGTTGGTTTATTAAGGTGCTGTATTTAGGGGGTTTGATGTTGAATTTAAATCAAGGGTTCATTCAGTTTTGATGTCTTTCTTTGAAGGAGGGGAAGCAAAAAATTATTTCCCTATTAAATTTCACTAAAGAAGCCCCCAACTTCCATAAAAACTATCCAAGTTACCTCAACCTATCCACAAACCCCCCAAACAACCTTCATTGACGTCTACAAAAAATTATGAATAACTTCTGATTCATATTGATCAAATACAATGAATTTTATTTTATTTTTCATTTGTCCATCATCATCATAGACCATCAATCTACCTATCTATCTTGATATACATTTTTATTCCCTTGATGTCGGCATTTTTAACATTTTATGAATGTATGTTTTTGGGGGTTTATGGATGAATTTTTATTATATTCTGAATATATATTTTGAAGGATTAGATGAAGAAGTTGAGATATACGGGATATGTTCTTGAAGAATGTTTTTTTAGCCTTTCAATCAAATGTTATGCTCGCAATAAAAATTGAATCAATTATTTAAACTGTGTGGCATAATTGAAATATCATTTTAATGGATTTTGAATATTTATTGGGATTTGTAAGGTGGAGAAATCGTGAATTTGTTAAATTTGAAGTTTATGGGAATTTTTATTAGGGGAATAGTGTCGGATTTGATGGGTAATTAGTCATGAATATTGGAAGTTTTTTGATTTTCTAGGTTAGGTTTATTTATGAATTTTGAATGATTTTTGTGTCTGATTTAAAAGGATACTTTCTAAAATTGACCAATTTCCTTAAATTTGAAAAGTTTAACGCCTGCCATTCAGCAAACAATGCTCATAAACACCCTTAAAACACCTACAAAATTAATTCATCAGGAACAAAGCAGAAATGTCCGAAGCCTCAAGACAATACCAATCAAAAATCTCCTCATTCACCATTAATTACATTGATTGCTTCAAAAGCTTCAATCATAATTAAAAATTACTTTCTCACTGTGTATAAATTAACATTCATGACATAAATACCGTTTCAAACTGGTGAAAAGTAAGCGCTTTTAAAAATATTTTAATTCTCATACACATCAACATTTTTTAGATAATCTTTCAATCATATCACTTGATATCTTCTGAAATATGCTGAACTTGGGTATTTTTTTATTATTCGTTATTAGTCATAATGCAATGTATACATACATAATGCTGTGTAGAGAGGTTTGAGTATTTTTTTGGATTTTTAATGAGAAGATTGAAAGTGATTGGGAGAGGAATTGATGTAAGCGTGTCTTTCGCTAGTTAAAAAATTAAAATTTTGTTTTTCTTCTAAAATATTTTTCGTAGTTTTTGAGGCAGTTTATTTTACATTCTAGAAGAAGCTTTTCTAGCAGTTTAAAATATTCTATTAATTGGAAGCTATTATAACAGTTTGAAGCTGTTCTAGTGATTGGCAGTTATTCTAGTAGTTATTCTAGCAGTTTCGAGCTATTCTAGCAGTTTGAAGCTATTCTAGCAGTTTAAAGCTATTCAAGCAATTTGAAACTATTCTAGTAGTTTGCAGTTATTCTAGAAATTTCAAGCTATTCTGGTAGTTTGAACCTATTCTAGCAGTTTAAAGCTATTCAAGCAGTTTGAAGATATTCTAGCATTTTCAAGCTATTGTAGCAGTTTGAAACTATTCTAGCAGTTTGAGGATATTCTTGCAGTTTAAAGCTATTCTGGCAGTTTGAACCTATTCTAGCAGTTTAAAGCTATTCTAGCAGTTTGAAGCTATTCTAGTAATTATTGAGTATTTGCAGTAGTGAACGAAATTTCTTAAAACTTTTCCTTCACAAATCATTCCTCAAAAACCACACTCAACTCTAATATTCAATTTTAATGCGCGCACGGCACAAGAAAAAAAAATTGTCGAACGATGACGAGGTCAAATGATGAAGAATTATGCTTGGTAATCGTTTTCTAGGAATTTTACTTGTTCATTTCTATTTTCTCTTTCATTCCACAGCCACAAAAGCAAATGAGAAGTAAAACGAATGAAGAAGAAGAAAGAGAGCTTTACGATTTATTGCCATCAATAAAACTTCCAAATCATTCAAATCTAATCAAAAAGTCACTTGTTGAAGATCTCAACCGGCTCACTCTCACCCAGTTGTATCGATATTAAGCCGCACAGCTAATACAAATTTTTTTGTTACTGTATTATTGGATGTAATAAATCAGACCTTATAATTTATTGAATGTCTCATTCCCAGAACCTGATTCCTTTCTTTTCTTCCACTTTTGCTTATTACCTGCACCTTCTTTTTTATTGTCTATCAAGTTCTGTGTATCTCCTTGTGCCATTGTGTGGAGTCTCGTTCTGAGAAAATTCGCTTGAATTTATTAATTCCATGTGATTTAGATTTAATCAACAAATTTGCTACACAAACAGTTTGACTTTTATCATCTAAACTAGATGATTTGTACGCATAAATTTTTCGAGAGAATGTTTGCTGAACATGTCATATCAAGTTATGAAGCTTAAGTGGATCGTGTTAATTGGAAATAAAAAATGGATTTTTGAGTGAGTTGGTGGATGAAGTTGAGTGACAGTTTAGAGAATGATGAAATTTAAGAGTTCAAGGGGTCAGTTTTGGTAGGATTAACTAGACTGTGAGTGGGTCGTAGCATTGATTGGTAAAAAAACTCAGAAAAAAATAAAAATTCTGATAAATCACTTTAAAATCTTATTTTATCAATTACTTCACATTCAACAGCATCAATTAGTGAGACATAAAGTCTAGCCATTAATTTTCCCTAATTATCATAGTCTCAAATTCATCCCACAATATTAATTTACTGAAAATTTGATATCACGTCAATTTTCACCATAGATATCAGATTCCAAAAATATTAAAGCTTTACGTGCTAATTTGCACAGACTATCAAAATAATTAATTAATTAATTATCTTCAAAACGTTCAATAATTAAATTACGAATATAGATCATAAATTTTGTGAAGCAGATTACAGTTCAAACAATTAATATCGAATGATATTGATGACATTTGATGATAAGGAATTACGCAAACATTGTATGTCTATACATAATGTCATAATGAACCTACGGATATATTTTGTGTTTGAACAATGAAATTCTTGGTAAGTTATTCAATTATTCAAACATGTGTGCTGACGGAATTTTCTTTTTTGATGATGTTTGGAGGCTTAAATTCTATGCAGAATGTAATCAGCTTAGAGGTTTTTGGTAAAAGATTAGATAATGAATTTTAAGGAGGACCCGAGGTACCTAGTGTAGATAGAGGTTGATTAGGTATATAGTAAGGTTAGGATAAAGCTAGAGCAAGGCTTGGTTAGTGCCCAAGATAGCCAAATAGTTCAAAATAGCTGTCTATAGTACCCTCAAAGGAATGCCAATAATACACAAATTAACCCAGAAAATCCATCAATTCTCACTCAAAACAATCGACGTCCAATTCTCAGCACACAATCAACTCAATACAGCATAAAAATAGACACAGAAAATTAAGAAAAACTCATCTATTCATAAAAAAGAATTTGTCGCTATTCATTTCGCATCAAAATTTCGACAGTCTGAACTCCTACACAATCAATCATTCGCCGTCATTTGAGTGGCAAAACAAAACAAAACAAGAGTCAAAGATTCTGGCTGACTGTAAATGAAGAGACGTTTTCTTTTGATTATGAAAGTCATTTCCACTTAGTTTTAAAATACAAAAGAGAAATATCTAAATTTATAACTATTCACATCATGTGTATGTCGTTATTTCATTTATTAAAGACTTTACAGTTAAACATCCTCCCCATAATAAATACTCATTGATGCAAAAATTTAAAAAAGATGAAGAAATGAGAACAGACGGACGTGAATGAAGTAAATAAAGTGATATTTTCGTTTGGGATTTGCTGGATTTGAGATGCGGATGGAAGGAAATGATTGGAAAATTTTTACTTTATTTTCAAAAGTTTGACCAAACACGCTTGGGTTTCCTCCTTAAAAATCATCCCTAATAGCCATCATCTATTAATTACTATCAATTCTATTCATTCCTAATGATCCATCCTCCTAATCCCAACCAACATAATGCATTCAAATTCTCAGCAAACAATAATTTCTTTACATTATAAAAAATCTCGTGCCGCTATAAAAAAAATCATATTTTTTTCCTGCATTAATTGACATCCTCATAAGTCACACAATCTGACATTTTTTTTTGCCAGATTGGGCGTCCCAAACAATATAAAAAGTATTCACGAGAGATGAAAAAAAAAAAAATGATTTTTAATGTTTCATTGTTGATTGAGTTCCTTTTTGCATGGCACACATTCACAAAAAAATAAGAAAAACATTTTTTTTAATGGCACGTTTGGGAAATTGCGACATGTACATATTCATAAGGAATAAAGGTACAATAGTTTCAAATAGCTTATTATTTTTAATGATTTCTGCGACTTTTGTTGAACTGAGTAGTTCCCCTCACCCCTCGATTCATAATTAAATGCAATTTTTTTCTCTCTCTCTTTCGTGTTTTGTTGTTGTTGCTTCTATTGCCGCTATTGTGAAATAAGGAAGAATTTGGAAGGAACAACTGCTGCGAAAAATTCCATGATGAATTGAAATGCGTATAAAAAATATTGTCAACCCTGAATTTTGATGACTATCCTTATGGGAATTTTAGATTGATTTTTATGAAATTTTCAGTATTTTAGCTAAAAAAACTAGATTTTTGAAACTTTGAAAAAAGTTTTAATTGTTAAAAAACATTTCATTTCTTAAAAATTATTTATTTTACATTTTTTTAAGTTTAAATTTTAAATTTTGAAAGCAAAAAAAAATAATTTTAAATATTGAAAGAAATAATAAAAATTGATGGATTTATTAGATTTACAATTTTTAATTTTTTTCATTTTTGTCAAAATTTTAAAATTAAAAACTTTTTTTTGTAATTTTGCCAAAAATTATCAAATTATCCCTCCTAAAATCCTGACAAAATCACCCTACTAAGTTACATCAATTCTCATTTTTCTACTCATTTACTTCTTTTTTATCTCCTAAATCGACGTAGCGCATAAAAAAAAATATAATTTTTTTATGTCGAAGGCTGTGTACAGTTCCGATGATCATGACAATAGACTTTTTTTATGTTGGTTTCCTATGGATTACAATACCATTAAAAAAAATCGACAATGAAATCAATAGTTTGAAAATGTAGACAGAAAATTGCAATTATTTTGTAAGTCGAGATGACTAGCTGTTAATTATAGACTGTAATGATGATAATTACACGGAATGAAAGAAGATTTTAATCTTAAAAGATTTGAAATTAATAAGCTTAGAATATCAAAGGAATTTTGTGTTTATTTTGGGTAATGAGACATTATTATGAAGTATTTTGCAATAAATTTGCTTGAACAACTATTGAGAATTTTAATTGAGGATTAATCGATATTTCAACAAGGTATTAGATGGCAAAATTATAGGGGATAATCAGTTTAAGTTTGTCGTGTGGTAGGATATCATATAACATAGAATATGTGCAGATGTGCTTAAAATTTGAAGTAAAAATAAATCAAATCTATTCAACAATTTAGACTTAGTCAAAATGCCATGTGCCTGCCAACTAAGAACACTCAAAAATTACCACAACAATTACCGATTAATATCCCCATCAAAGTCCATAATCCCCATCCAAGTCAACTTAATATTCACAACTTAATACTCCCTGAATTTTTCCCATAAAATTTCATCATAAAAATTCCGCCTTGATTAATTCAACGCCATTAAAATATCTCATTTTGTGATTAATTTGTAAAGAATAAATAGAGATATCCATGACATATAATGACTCTTTAAGAAGACAGTCGAGAGACAATAAAAAAATATAGAAATGAACATGTTCAGAAAATCATCATAATTCTCCACACATCAGCGGTCAGCGAAAGTGCAGTGTGTGGTTATAAATCAATTTTTAATGCTTTACGATGAGACGAGTTTTGGCCGTAAAAACAGAAAATAAATTAAAGGAAGAAAAGAAAGTATGAAGAGTAGAATGAATCTTGGGAAGTAGTGAATGAATGGAAAGAGTTGGAGAGGTGTGGGAACTTTTAAGGTTAACTTCAACTTAAAATAGTAATTTTCAAATATCGAAAGTGAAATATTCGAATTTCGAAAGTGAGATATTCGAATTTCGAAAGTGAAATATTCGAATTTCGAAAGTGAAATATTTGAATTTCGAAAGTGAAATATTTGAATTTCGAAAGTGAAATATTTGAATTTCGAAAGTGAAATATTTGAATTTCGAAAGTGAAATATTCAAATTTTGAAAGTGAAATATTTGAAATTCAAAAGTAATATTTTTAAACTTCATTTAAGCTTTATGACTTAATATTTTGTATAATAGTTTCCAACAAGATTCCCATCCCATGCAATAGAATTTTACGCTTCAAGAATTTTTTTCTAATTAAAAAACTCCAAAAAAAAAAAGAAATTGTGAAGTTTTCTTCTACATCCGAGTCAAGACCATTACTAGCCTCTCATACCCAGAAACAAAAAAAATATTCATAGATCATAATAAATAATTATAATTATTATTTTATGGTCATATGTATAGAACAAGCAGGAATTATAGTTTGTTGGGAAATGAATGGGAGGATTAAAAATAAATTAATTTTTTTTTTCATCATAATCTACAAGAGATGAATGTGAGACTTACCTAGAATACAACTGCACAGACATTGTAGAACGATAATCAGGAAAATATCCAATTTCACATTCAGATTCATCTTCATCCTTGCTTAATTATATTCACACAAAATATACACTAAAATTATTATTATTTTTTACGTTTCAGCAGTTTCTTGTGAACTTTTTTATTATTTTTTTTTCAGATCCTTTAATCACTTCACCATGTTAAAAATATTTTTTTTTGTTAAAGTCCCGTCCTTGACTCAAAACATTTGTGCATTAACATCAAGGAAATTTGTCGTTTTCATTTATGCATGTAATTTTCTCCGTAAGACACACGAACAGGCTGCAGAATTTCCTTTTCTTAACATATGCAATTCTTGTTCGTTTAATGACTTTATGACTTTGCCTACTGATTCTTGAGATTAGTTTATGGCTCGTCCTTGTTTCTTCTTCGAATATTCTTTCATTGACTTAAAGGAAATGGATGTCCTTGTCCCTAATTTCTTTCAATTCTTCCTTTTTTCTAATAAATTTCTATGATCATTGACTTTAATTGCCTGTTATTGCTTTTACACGAGTCAGAATGCTTATTGCTTTATTGCTCACGTTTTCCACTTACAAATTTAATTTCATTGATGAGCGTATGGACGATTCTGAAGTCTTTAAGTTGAATTTATTCTATGAATTGAATTTTTTCTGTAGTTTCTTTCGTTAAATTCCTCAATATTTGGATTCTCTCGGCTTATTCTTATTCGATTTTGGTGCTATTCAATATTTCTTTGTAAGTTATTATCCAATTTTGAATATTTTACTTCTTATTCTTCTAATCGCACCTTCTTTTTTTCTTTTTGAAATTATCTACGCACACTTTATTTGGTATTCGTACGATTAATTAATTAATGTAATTTTCTAAGTCGTTTCCTATTCTCATTCAATTCTTATTAAACATTCATAAGCTGCATTTCCTTACTGAGTATGTTTTTATTGAGATATTACACAATTGTAGCTTGTTAAATTCGACACATTAAGATGTTGAATTAAATTAATTGAAATCTTTTTTTTTTGAAGTCGATTTGATGAACTTTTCACAATTTTTTCACTCTCAAATAATTTTTCCTTCAATTTAAAACTCTCAAAATTTCCCATAAAAAATTGAAGTCTTCATCCATAAAACGATGGGAATTAATTAAATTAAATTCTCTTATTCACACTAGTCGCCCTTTTTGAAATGTTAATTTTTTATTCAGCTCCTTTCTTATTTTTTTTTTGTCTATAAGAATTTTTTTATTGCCTCTCCGTCCACATATGTTTTTGTTGTGTACCGTACAAGAGGAAGGTAATGAGTGAATGAGTCGAGATCTAGGCGATAACTGGTTTATGTTGCTTCTTCTTCTTCTTCTTCTCTTCGTCGCTTTTTTTCTCTTTTTTCACTCTTTTTTATGTGCAAAGGAAGAATTCACTTGTTGCTTCTTTTTTTTTGCAGCTTATCTTGCAGTTAATGCTTGATTATTTTCGTGCGTTGGTGACTCCCACAATGGATATTGAGTACCCGACAGTCTTGATTATTTTTGTATATTCGAATAAATTCTTAAATTTTGTTTATTCAAAAAATTCTTTAATTTATTATCGCTTCGGACCAAATGACTTGATTCTTCTCGATTTAAGACGTTCGTTATCAACAAAAATAATGACTTTTTTTTCTTTGGGGTCGGTTAATGTGTGTCGCTTTTGAATAAATAAATAAAGCGAGTGTCATTGACAGAAAAATATCATGTGGAACACTTTAATTCAATTTTGTAGTCACTTGAGATTGTTCTTTGTATGATTATTATGAAAATTTTGTGTTAATCTCTTTGTTGATATTAAATAGATTTGAGATTTTAAGGCTGTAAGTAATAGTTTGGCGTTTAATTTGAGTTATTGGTTTGCGGGGTTTTTTTGAGCGGGGTTCTTTGAAGTTTTTGACAACAATTTCTTTAGTATTTGCCGAATTTCGCGTTAATTTTCTGACTATGAATGACTTTTATAGCTTTGAACTATTTTAACTTCGATTTACGCAATTTTAGTAGTTTTATGAATTTTTCTAGATTTTTAAATAAAAATTTAAAAATTATTTATCATCAAAATTCAGAATTTTCAATATTTAATTTCCGCGAATTGCTCATCAAAAGCTTGTCGTCTTTCCAAAGCAAATAATCCTCAGTCTTTCACAATAAAACATAAAAAAAAATCTTTTTTCACTTATTTTTTATTTTCATACATATATTTTCATGTAGGAAGTCTCTTTTGTGTCAGTTTAACTTGCTATTCTATTAATTCACTATGTCAAACATCACATTAAATCATCTAAATACACACATATAACTTGAATAATTATTACACTTAAAATGAGCATTCTCATCTCAAACAGTCGTTCATTTAAATGAAAGTTAATTAGATTATTGTGTGTATGCAATTTCTATGAGCATCCAAAAGGATTCTATTTTTTTATCAATGGGTATTTTTATTTTAAATTCACAAAAAAGTTTCTTATTGTCTTCGAATTTTATTCACTCTGATGATTTTCAATGTCTCAACCCTAAAAAATATTTTTTTTTCGATAAATCTCGGAGCACTCCGTAATTCGATATATGTCTATGTCTATATAGTCCCTTCTGTATTTTTTCACGTGCAATTGTGCTACAGAGGAGCAGTAAAATGTGCTTCTGTCCTCAACGAATGATCCGATGAAACTGAATTATCCAAAATATTATGGAACGGAAAACGAAACAGTTCGTGGCAGGACGAAGAAATGTGAGAAATGACTGAAATTCTCTCATGATTCTCGTCTCTCTGAGAGCGGCAGCATTTCATTGTTGAATGCTTTAAACAGATGATTTTACATTTGAATATAATTTCAGAGACATTAACATTGAAATGAATAAAGCAACATTTCCGACTGATGTTGATGAATAGAAATGAAATGAAATGTAAGTGATATATTGAGTATGGAAATTTATGGCGATTCACAATTGAGATTTATTGAGGAAGAATTTTTCCGACATGAGATTTAATGTCTTCTTCTACTTCTTATTCAGATTTTTATTTGTGAATCTTTTGAAGCTTAATTTGGAGATTTTTTGGATGACATAAACGATTCACAGACAAACTTTTATAAGGTTTGCGCATAAGTTTAATGGACTAGGCGCATTTTTGACAGGAACTGTTGTATTGGGAATTGACAACGGGTATCTTAGTGATAAGGCCAGCTTCAGGGGCCATTTAGTAAAAGCCATAGTTTGCGATATTGAACCTCATTAAAACGAGTTGCTCGGGTATAGCCTTAATCCATTCAAATAACATTCAATAAACCAACCTAATTTTTTATTCACGATAAGGCATAACAACGAATAGTTTTCACGATTATATATTTTACAGATATCTAATAGACTTTTGTGTGAACTGCTTCTCTTCATTTTCTTTCCTTTCCTTCCTTCTATCCTCTGCAAAAATATTTGCCATATCTCAATAGAATGTTGATTTATGACTCTTTGCAATCTAAATTTGCTTAAGATTCACATTAAGTTTGAAATCCATTAGCGAAATGTTGTTTACACGAAAATTTTATCAATGAACTTGACTCATTTTTCATGCGAATGAGAATTTTTTTTTGAGTTGAAATTAAGATTTTTATGGAAATGAATGATTCGAGTGGTGGACTCACAATGTCTTTTTGGCGAAAAAGTTTATTTTTTGATTTAAACAGTTCCAGAAACTATTGAAAATTTACTTTAAGAAAAATCATATCATTAACCCCTTTGAAATTACATGACACAAAGCTCACCAGACATGACAGATATCACAGCTCCAAATTTTTATCTATTGTTCGAAAGTAGAATTTCCTCTTATCTTCATTTGAAAAACCATAGTTACAAATTTACAAGCTAATTTTCCAATTATAAACATCAATCAAGACTCAAAACTCTTTCAAACAAATTCAAAACCTTCAAATCTAAATTTTCAAATTTTACCACGAGTTCCAAGCCATTTCGTTGATATCTTATCACCTGAGGTAGTGTCGACACAATAAAAGTAAATTAAGATAAGAGCCCAATAGAGATTTGAGAAGTGCCGCTTTCACGTTTCTGTCTAACTCATTCAATTATTGAAAAATATGTTTTGAGGTGTGACTGTGCAGAAATTCGTTTTATCATTTAAAGTATTTTGAAGCGAAATGAAATGTATTTAAGTTTCTGAAATGATTTTTTTTTTGAAAATGGAAAAGAAATTGATTTTTGAAATAGTTTTGAGATCGAATGTTAAGAATGTGTCTCATAATTTTTTGATTTATCATTAATTAATTCGATATTTTAAAAAGTTGAAATGAATAAAAAAATTCCAAAAGTTGAGGTCATTTTATGTTTTAAATTTTATGTATTCCTGTTAATTTAACAGTGAAAAGCCTTAAACATTCGGGTTCCCAAAAATCCTTTAAGTCATTCCGACTTCCAACTATAACCCCATCAAAATAACTTTTCAAACTACAATAAAAACAAATCCTTCCATCCAACTAAGCAACAAAAATTTAAATGTCAAAATATTTCCATCCCAAACTTTTTCATCACTAATTAAAGCAAGCCTTAAGAATCTCCAAACAGCAATTCACAAAATCCAACAAAAGACTTAACAACAAGAAGAAGGAAACCCTTCAAGTCGTCAAAAAAATTGACACTTAAAAGTTAAAATTTATGTTAATTATAATCTTCGACCACCCAACACATTGCAAAAGTTGCTATTTAGAGCTGTGACTGAGACAAAAGATGGATGGAATAACATTTGACAAAAATAACATGTGCAAACAATTATTGAGTCTGAAAATGCTGTGATGATGCTAGATTGTGACATTAGCAGAAATGTTTTAGAATGTTTAATGGTCTGTAAAGTGATCAGATTGGGAGGTTTGAGATTGGGTTTGATGGACTGAAACAAGATGTTTCAGTTCAATTCTACTTTAAAATATTAAATACAAACTGATGAGTTTTTCAAATTTTTTGAAGATTCAAAATGACCGAAATATTTAAAGTTTTAGCTGTTATTAATTTAATGAAGATAAGCTTGAAATTTTGTAGATGCTATTAAAGTCTTGCCACGTTTTTGCTTAACTTTAGATTAAATCGATTCCTCAAAATCAAATATTGACAGAATTAATCAAGAAAAAGTTTTTGAGATGAGAAAAATTTCTTTAGAACAAAAATTTTAAAATTCAAAGAACCGTTTCTTCTTTAATTTTAATTTTATTCTTTTATATTATAATGAAAAAAGGAAACAAGAATCAACCAAGAAATTCGCTCTATCTCCATTGAAACCAATAGAGACTTTTTACTTCCAAACAAAATATCCACTTCCATCAATGACTGCAAACAACAGTCAAGTAGATGAGGAAGTTTGCAAACTGAAACGAGAGAGATTATCAAATGGATCATTGGCTTCTTTCCGCCAATGTAATTTGCATCCATCTGCTGCCGATGCTCGTGCTTTCTCTAATTTCAAAAATTTCTCAAGTTTCATCAATAATATTTTTCACACATTTATTTTTCTTTTTGTTTGAGTTGTGAAGAATTTTTTAACGCATTTTTATAGAATTCTTTTTCGGGTTGAATTTATAGTTCATGCTTGAAAGTTTCATTCATAATTTTTACGTAAAACTTTCCGTTAAAAAGGTAAGAAAAAGGAGCACAAGAAAGAATTATGACAATCTCATGTGTAAGAGGCCTTCTTCATAATTTTTTCCTCATAATCGAATAGAAAAAGAATTTCATTCATTCATTTCGACCAAATCCATTCAATTGAGAATGGGCTATAAAAATTCCTTGTGTTGTTACATAGAAAATTGTATCATTAATAAAATCGTATATTTCGTTATTAAGAAGATGAGAATGGAACGAAAGTAGAAGATTTTTTTTAGGGCAGAATTCATTCCAACAATTTATTACCTTCTCGACGTACGATTTAAGATTTTATGTCCCCAAAAAAGGAATCCTGCATGATCATCATCGACTTCTATGTTGCACAATGGTGGACCCTTGCGGGGAATTTGGAATAAAAGATAAGTTCTTAAAATTTATTAAATTAATAACCAATATTTTAAATTACATCATGTAATGTCGTGAGCGCTAGAGTCTTGAATATCCCGAACTGGCAGAAGGTGTCTAAGAATAGAGCTGTCTTTGGACGTTCTCTAAGCGAGGCAATGGGCTCACGTGCTCTCCAGCTAAGAAAGTAATTATAGTAAAGTAATTAAGTAATATTGTGAGCATTTTCGATTTCTTGTCATATCGACACACTATGGAATGGATTAAGAGATCAGTCTCAAGTGGGAATCGAACCTCATTAAAGTAGCTCACAAATATCTAAACTGTTGCCTAGCATCTCAGAGACCTTACTCTTATAATGGCAAAATCGTCTACATATGGCTCAAAATCCCAGATTCTAATCGTTCCAAATTTGAAATTTTTGAACTTATTTTAATGTGCAAGATTAATTCCCAAAAAATCTGACAAAATTGTCACAGCACCAGAAATTTGTTCTCGTTCATGAGACACATTAAGATTAGTTACAGTCTTGAAACTCTTCTTCTACTTCTTCTTCTTCTTCTTCTTCTTCTTTATTCCCATTCACAGTCATATGTATATCCATAAATGTATGTATAGATCTTTAACAAAAGAGTCAATGCCATATACAGCAACAAAATAATGATTTCTTGTGTCCTTTTTCGCATTTTTAGAATAGAATATTTTTTCTTCGTATTATTTTTTATTTTATTTTTAAATAAATTCAATGTCGTAACGAGGCAAAAAGGCAGCACAATTGTTGTTCAAGAATGAGAAATGAGGAGAAATACATGCATGGAAAGAAAAAGTAAGAAGTATCGATAGTAATACATATCGAAGGTCAAAGATTATTTCTTCTTGCTGCTTCTCTTTTGTGTATTGTGATAGTTAATGCGATTTACTACGGGATGGATATGAGGTGTGTGTCTTGTAATTATTATGCATCATGATGTAGATGAATGATATGAAGGAAAAAGGTGAAATATGCAAACTTAGAGATTTTATTTTTCTTTAGAATATTATCAAGGTTAGAAATAAAGATTAAGATGATGCGTGCCGAATTCTATGGAATCT